CGTGAGACTTGTTACTCCTACATAAATAAATAAATAAAATAAAAATAGAATCCCCGTTCCCCAACCCTCCAGGTTGCCTGGTTCAGAGAAGGGTATTTGTAGAGCCCGGTGATCTTGTCACAGATAACTTGCAGGGATTTTTTTTTTTAAGGACGAGCCCCAAATTGAGCATCACTTTAGCAAGTAACTGGTCCTTATTCAAACATGAAACAAGTCAGAGACTGGAGCCACAGTCCAGTGGGCAGGTGCTTGCCTTACCAGAGTCAAGCCAGGTTCAATTCCCATGTGGTCCCCGGAGCCTCGCCTGGACAGATCACTGAGTGCAGAGCCGAGAGTTAGCCCCAAGCAACACCAAGTGTGGACCATCCCCACCCCCCAATAAAAATAAATGATAAAATAAATCTGTCACTGTCACTGTCCTCCCGTTGTTCATTGATTTTCTCGAGCGGGCCCAGTAACGTCTCCATTGTGAGACTTTGTTGTTACTGTGTTTGGCATACAAATATGTCACGGGTAGCTTGCCAGGCTTTGCCGTGCGGGCGAGATACTCTCAGTAGCTTGCCGGGCTCTCCAAGAGGGGTGGAGGAATCGAACTCGGGTCAGCCATGTTGGCTGCGTGCAAGGCAAACGCCCTATCCGCTATGCTCTCGCAAATAATTGAAAATAAGTCAGTGTCATTAACAGTCAAAGTCAAGAAGCTGCTCCAGGTTAAGGACGTAGGAAGGAGGTCAAGGAAATTGTGTGTGTGTGTGTGTGTGTGTGTGTGTGTGTATACACTTGCATATATATAGCCGTGTATACATGAGTTTGCATTATGTAAGGGGTCTGTGCATATTTGTACACATGTGTAGCACTGCAGCACTGTCCTCCCGTTGTTCACTGATTTGCTCGAGCGGACCCAGTAACGTCTCCATCGTGAGACTTGTTGTTACTGTGTTTGGCATATTGAATATGTCATGGGTAGCTTGCCAGGCTTTGCCCTGCGGGCGAGATACTCCGTAGCTTGCCAGGCTCTCCGAGAGGGGCAGAGGAATCGAACTCCTGGTGGGCCTTGTGGGCCGCGTGCAAGGCAAACACTCTACCTGCTGTGCTATCACTCCAACCACATGTGTAGATATCACAGATATGTCACAGTAATCACAATTTAGTGAATCTAGGCAGAGCACATTATTTTTGCAGTTCTGTCAGTTTGAAAAGATCCCCCTCTTCAAAAAACTTCAAAAGAACACGTCTTGGGGTAAAAGGTGCAAGAGTGAAACTTACTGAATCATTTTTCACTTTAATTTTGGGGGTGGGGGTTCTGGGTAGAACTTTCAGTGCTGGAACACAGGAAATTCAAACTTCCCCCTTCCCCCCCTCCGCCCCAACCCCAAAGTGTTAAAACCAAAGCACATAAAATACCACAGGGGGTCCCACCAATGGCAAGTTGTTAGCACAGCGGTAGGGCGTTTGCCTTGCACGCAGCCAACATGGCCGACCTGAGTTCGATTCCTCCGCCCCTCTCGGAGAGCCCAGCAAGCTACCGAGAGTATCTCGACCGCACAGCAGAGCCTGGCAAGCTCTCCATGACGTATCGAATATATCATATGCCAAACACAGTAACAACAAAGTCTCCAATGGAGACGTTACTGGGCCCGCTCGAGCAAATCGATGATCAACGGGAGGGCCTTTACTTTAATGCTACCCAGTTTTATTAAAAAACTGTGAGGTGCAAATTATAATCTGCAGTTTTGCTAAACTTTCTGTGAATATATTTCCACCACCACCACCACCACCACCAAAAATATTTAGCTTGAGAAACGCCTTGTCTTGTTATTTGTATTACAAATACTGGAGACAGGGAACTTCTTCATTCTGCTCCTTTGCTGTTTAGAATGTTGCCGCACTGTACCCTCCCTCCTATGCTCTGTACTTGTACTGCTCTGAAAAGATAACGATGAACTTGCAGGATTCCCTATAAAGGGCTCTTGACTCCTCCCCACCTCGCATATTTCTGAAAGTCCCAGCAGCCCCATCGACATCCCACAGCCAGTGTCCTAGAAACTCATCCACTCAGTTCTACAGATCCCTGGAGCTTCTGTGGCACACAGACACCTCCAAATTCCACAACATTGTGTTCCCAGGAGGAGCACACACCCAATCAGATGGGAGTGTGACATAGGGGCCAACTAAGTTCAATGAGCAAAAACAGTAACACAGGGGGCTCAACTAGCAACAAACAGCTTAATAAATCCTTATTTGGGGACTTAATGACCCCCGTTGTGAGATATAACCATTTTCACAAATTTTCTTTTACTGTAGTATTTATTTTTTTATAACTCCATTAGCCACTTAGTTGTAACAAGCAATATAAAATAATTTTGTGCTTATTAAGGAGGCAAGTGGTTGGGGAAATGAGAGGGTGGAGGGAAGGTTACTTTGGTGGTGGTACTGGTGTTGGAACAGTGATTGCCTGTAACAACTGTATTATGAACAATTTTGTAAATTGTGGTGTGTAAATAAATAAACCTTGCTCTCTGGCCCTAAGGCTTGGTGTGTTTGACTAAACAAATGTCGGTTACAACATTATGATACAATCTTTAAAATATTTTAATGAGTGAAAATCTTTATCAGGCAAAAACTGTCAACTTAGAAGATAAACTGTGCATTTTATTTATTTATTTATTAGTGAAACACCATGAGGTACAGTTGTAGACTTATAAACTTTCGTCCTTGGGTTTCAGTTATACAATGATCGAGTACCCATCCCTCCACCAGTGCCCATTCTCCACCACCAATGATCCCAGTAGCTCTCCCACCCCCACATTGTGCATTTTTTTTGACAAAAAAAAAAGAGATTGACCTTAACTTTTATATTGGGATAACATTAAGCTTGTTACACACTGTCACAGTGACAACGAGAGTTAAGCCTTAACTAAGCTGGCTTCCCCAAGCTGCAGGTGACCTCCAGGCCACCAGGCACTACATGCATGTTGGGGTTACCCTGACCTTTTCTATAAGTTCCAAAACATCTATTTCAGTCTTATGATTTGTATCGGCCCTTCAAATAAAGTAATTTGGTACCCCTCCAAAAAATTATGCTTGTTATGCAGCAATATTAGAAAATAAACCGTTAAATCCCTCAAAACTACTTACAACAGAAGAGGAATTTAAAAAAAATAACTCGGTTATACACTATAACTTGCATTTTTAAGTGTGTTAGGGAGTTTTTCCACTTGGATGTAATTTTTACCAGCAAAAAATGTGTGCCTCTTTAAAAAAAAAAAAACTCTTTGCTGTCATTTGACGGTTCTAAATATTTGAAAAAGCAACCTAGGGTTGAGACAATAGTACAGCAGGTAGGGGGCTTGCCTTGCATGCAGCCCACTCAGGTTTGAGGATACCCAACCACCCCCCACACATACACACACCCATATAGTGTCCCCCTTCAGCTCCTCCAGGAGTGATCCCTGAACACAAGAGCCAGGAGTAAGCCCTGAGCAGAGTCTGGATTGACCCAATAAAACAAAACAGAACAAAACAAAAAAACCCAACCTATTACGACTATTCTAAGAACTCGTTTTTGGAAAGCAGGAAATTGAAATAAAAAAAATAATAAAACTTAAAAGAGTCCATGTAAATATGCTTGTGATTAAGTGAATCTCAGCAGTTTCCTTATTCCATTTGGATCCATAGTCTTGTGAATTATTTTTTCAATCTATGATGTTGTCAAATCAAACTTCTGGCCCGGAATCAAACCCAAAAGCAAATCTTTTAAAATGAAATCTAAAAACTGCATAGGCATAAAAATTATCTAAATGGGTTTAGTTTCTTGATACGTAAAGGACACCCCCTAAAAGCAACCAATATTCACCCTTGTGGTTCTCTACAGATACGCATTTTGCATATCATCAATCATTAACATTGTCACAATTAACAGTTATGCACTTGCTTCATCTCATCCTTTATGTTTTCTTTCTGGATATTATCAAGATATCCAGAACCTTCCGCTAAGGTATGTAAACAGTGGACTCTGATCAACGGCCGACTACCCAAATCTCTAACACAAGCGCTGTTGAGAGCCACCGCAAGCCTGGACGCGGCCACAACTCGGTCAGCGGCCCATAAACCAGCGCCTGAAGGGACTGGCTCGCACTGGTCACGTGCCTTCTCCCACCACTGTGCACGCAGGACACAGCCCCGATGCTCGGAGCTGCTTCACTGCAGCGGCCCCCAGGTCCACAAGCCACCCCCACACCAGGCCCCGGATGTCCACGACCCGGGAGGGGCAGGGCGGTGGTCAGGAGAAGCCGGACACGCGTCCGCGGCTGCCATTAGCGGGATAGAGCCTGGAGAGCCGGGAAGTCCAGCGCCCAGGAGGCTGCGCAGACCCACTGTCCACGCGCCGCACCCCCGCGAGGCCCAAGGTGTATGCAGCGGGGAAACGAACACGGACAGCCTCGGGCCGCAAAAGGAATGTCCAGGGAGGAGTCCAAGCGGGCCCTGAGCACGCTGGCCGCAGCACCCGCAGCGCCCGCCCCTCTGCGGCATCCCCCACGCGGGCCGCAGCACCCGCAGCGCCCGCCCCTCTGCGGCATCCCCCACGGGGGCCGTAGCATCCGCAGTGCCCGCCCCTCTGCGGCATCCCCCACGCGGGCCGCAGCACCCGCAGTTCCCTCAGCTCCCGCCTCTCTGGGACGTCCCCCATGGGGGTCGCAGCACCCGCAGCGCCCGCCCCTCTGCGGCATCCCCCACGCGGGCCGTAACACCCGCAGCGCCCGCCTCTCTGCGGCATCAGCACCGCAGCCAGGGCGGGGGTAGGAGGACCGTGGAGACGGCAGCGCGCACGCGCGGAAGGGGTGGGGCGGGGCCGGCCGGGGAAGAGGGGCGCCAGCGCGCGGACAGCGCGTGCGCGGCGGGGCGCTGGGCGCGGGGGCGGGGCCTACGGCGCTCCGGGGTCTGCGGCGGGCGCGTGCGCGCGCAAAGCGCTTTCCTCTGGCGCGGACGCGGCTGAGGGGACGTCGCGGTCGAGGGGGAAATGTGAAAACGGCGGCGCTGTCGCCGGCCGCCCGCGCACGATGCAGGCCCTCCTGCGCGCCGCCACCCTGCTGGTGGTCGCTGCGGTGTCGTGGGGGGCGCCCTCCGCGGCCGGTGAGGGGGACACGGAGGCGGGGACGGAGGGACACGCGCGGGGGTCCAGGGTCGCGGCGGCCCCTCGGCTGCTCGGGGGTGGGGGCGGGAACAGTTGCGGCCCGGCGGGGGCGTTGGCTTGACTTTGGATTTGGGTTTATTTTAATTGGCTTCTTGAAGGTGTTAACGAGTGCTCTCCACCCTGAGCACTCAGGAGACCTGTTGATTGATTGATTGATTGATTGATTGTTGGCATGGACCGTGGGGGTTCTGACGTTGATTGGTTGCTTGGTTGATTTGGATGGTGCTGCAGGGGTGGGTAGTACTGGGGGTGGAACCCGGACCACCCCCCCACGCCCCCCCCCACACACACGCACCAGCCCCCGACTCCTTCCAGGGTCCGCTGGGCTTTTTGATTGATTGGTTGATTGGTAGCGCCGAGTTGCTTAGGTTACCTAGAGCGGTGGGACCCAGAGGGCCCCCCGGGGGGGGTCTTTTATATCGATTGATTGTGTTGCGGGGGCGCTGGGAGTATGGGGGTCGCCTGGATCACATGGGATGGTGGAACCCGGGACCCCCGCCGGGCCTTGTGTATCGATTAATTGATAGATCAGTTGTGCTGAGAGGTTGCGGGGTCTGTTGGGGATCGCGCCTGGCTGGCCCCAGCGGGAATCTGGACAGCGCTTCCCGAACACCCTTCCTCCTCCCCTTGGCGGCCTGGTACGGACGTGCGGGGTGGAGCCTTCAAGTGTTTTTGTGGCTGTTGTTGGCTGCAGGAAACAGTGCCCCGGATGGTACGGGGTCTCCCATGCCTTAAAGGTATGTTATGTAAGGGGAGGTTGGGGGTGGGGTCCCAGGGTCTGGGCGCAGCCGCAGCCTGAAGTCCTCGCAATGCGTCATACGCGCTGTTTGCACAAATCATTCCTGTTGACTTGTGAAAAGAATCCCCGCCTTGTTTGATTGCCTCGCGCGCCTCCGACCTGGGCATCACCAGGGATGATCCCTACGCTCAGAGTCTGGAGGAAGCCCTGAGCACTGCCGGGTGTAGCCCTCAAAACCAATTAATTAAATTTAACGTTGCAGGAGAATATGTATCAGACCCTCGTTGAAAGCTTCTGTCTGGAAAGGGGGAAAAAAATTGCAGCTGCTAATTTTTTGGTACTGCGTGCCAGGCATGACTCTTAAACGTTTTATTTATTCGTTAAATAAATAAAATGGGAGGGTGGGAGGGTAGGTGGAGCATGGAGGTAGGATCTGTGGGGTGTCAGCCAAGCTCCTTGATCTCAGTTCTTTGAAACACTCTGCGGTGTTTCAAAGGTGTAAACTACACTGAGGTTTCAGAACAACTCCAGGCACTGGGAGCTCATTTTTCAGATGAACCAAGGCCTTGGGAGATTGAGTACCCACCCCACCCAAGCCTGCTCCAGAACGTGGAAATTAAACCCAAGATCATTAAACCCAAGATCATTACTCACCTTTCCACGTCTTGAAATTCCCAAGTGTGGGAAGGCTTTTCCATCCATATGGATGGATGTTGTTTGGATTTAAGTCATAAGATAGTGAGATGAGTGTGAGTAGGAGGAGCTTTGAAGAGTTGGCTTAAATGCTCATTTATGTAGTTTTGTCACCCTAAGAGGATGAAATAAACTTAAAGGTGATTGCTGGCACCAGAGCAGTAATTTAGTGGTTAGGGTTCTTGCCTTTTACGCAGGTCAACCCAGGTTCAATCCCCAACACCCCATTTGGTCCTGAGCACCCCCAGTGATCCCTGAGTGCAGAGACAGGATGTGGCCCCCAAACCAAAATAAATGTCTCAAAATAAATGAAAGGAGACTGCTTTGAAAATTAAAACTGTTTAGTAGTTAATTGTTAGAGTTCCTGTCCATTTATCAGTTGTTTGGCTCACAAATGCCAGACATCAGCCAGGGCTCCCCCCTACATCCTCCCACTTCCTCTTCCTCTCATTTAGAGTTCTGTGTGGAATGTGACAGACGCCATCCTGTGTCTGTCAGCCCCTTCAGGACTCCTGGCTGTGTACAATCTCTAATAGATAGGATGAGAATTCGTTTTAGAGAAGTGGGACATAAAGGAAAATCTGTTCAGGGAGCTCAAGTATAAACAGAAATTTGAGGGCGAGGAGACTCAATGGCTGACTCTCCATTTTTTAAAAATTTTCAGAACATATTTTCTCAGATGTGAAACTGATTGAAGGCAGAGGAAGTGGTCCCAGTAAAAAAAATTTTTACACAGCAACCCAGTGTAGAAGGTCTTCAAGGAGAGAGTGTGCTTACCTTAAAGAAGAAATAAAGGCTAGAAATAGTGTAGGACCAAGAAATAAATGGATGTTTTTATCCTCCTTCCCCACCTGCTTCCTCTCAGCCAGCTCTGTTAAATGTCCACTGGCTTGTACTTTCATTGTGTTTGACCTATCCATCAGTTTCTATCCTCATACTGTGCGCATGGGTATCATCAACCAATGCTTGTGATTTCACCGTGAATGGTAAAACTTCATCTTCGGGAATAATTTAAATGCTGATCTTCTGTTGAACCAATTCTAAACAAACCCTTGAATTCAGGGCGCAGAACTGAGGGTACGAGAGTGGTAGGAGAAAGGATCCACAAAAGGGGTCCTTTATGATGGGTACTATATGACAACGCGACTTCAGAAGAATGTGAAAAAGCGATCCTGGAACATACGTAATTGTAAGCCAGAGTTACAGCCACGAAAACATTCTGAGTCAGAGGCCGAAGAGGTAGCACAGTAGGTAGGGCACTTGGCTGGCATGTGGCTGACCAGGGTTCAATCCTCAGCATCTCATGTGGTCTTCCATACACTGCCAGGAGTAATTCCTAAGTGCAGAGCCGAGAATAAACCCTGAGCACTGTCTGGTGTGCCCCAAAAAGAAAAAAAAATAAATCTAAACAGTAGCCTTTCATCATGAAAGACCAAGTGCTTTGTGATAGAGAGAAAGTCCCTGGGAGTCCAGCAGGATGCCTAGGATGCAGGAAAAAGCTGTGAAAGTGTGAAACCATTTGGGGCTGGAGCAGCAATACAGCAGATAGGGCATTTGCCTTGCACACGGCCGACCGGGGTTCAGTTCCCTGCATCCCATATGGTCCCCTGAGCACTGCCAGGAGTAATTCATGAGTGTAGAGCCAGGAGTAATCCCTGTGCATTGCTGGGTGTGACCCAAAAATTTTTAAAAAATAATAAAAAATAAAGTATGAAACCATGTAGGAGCTTTAAGGAACCTGCAGTCTGGTTGGAGATAAATGTTTAACACAGAAGCAGTTTTTGTTACTGCTTTTTTTTTAACGTTTTAACAGCTTTTAAGAGCCTCGAGTTGTCAGTCTGTGCTGGGTATATCTTAGTGTGAAATGGAACAGTACGATTTGTGATGCAAAAGAAAAGCAGTCAGTATAAGCTGAAGTAGAGAAAGGAGGGCTGGAATGATATCACAGCGGGTAGGGTGTTTACCTTGCATGCAGCCGACCCAGGTCCGACCCAGGTTCGACTCCTCCGCCCTTCTCGGAGAGCCCAGCAAGCTACCGAGAGTATCTTGCCTGCACGGCAGAGCCTGACAAGCTACCCGTGGCATATTCGATATGCCAAACACAGTAACGACAAGTCTCACAATGGAAACATTACTGGGCTCACTCAGCAAATCCATGAACAATGGGAGGACAGTGCTTCAGTGCTACAGAGAAAGGAGGTTTCCTGGGAGGTCAAACCTGAGTCGGGCCTTGGAGGATGTGGATGGCCAGGGAGAAAGAGGTGAAGATTAAAAGAATAAGAAGAGAGGAGAGCCAACTGGTGGAAGTTTCTTATGCTGGAAGTAAATGACCTGGGGCTCTAGGTAGTAATCCTTAAAAACAAATAGAAAACCAGGGGTGTGGCTCAAGTGATGGAGCATTACGCCTTACCGGGGTGAGGCCCGAGTTAGATTCCCCCATCCCTGGCACTATGCAGCCCCATGGGTATCTCAGGTGCATGTAATGTTTGTGTACCTATACACACACACATACACACTCATAGATGTCTTCATAGATGTCTATCTTCAGAATTGATGAAGGTCTTTCCTGTAAAGCCTCCCGGGCATAAGAAACATTCATAACCACATTTGATTGTGTTATGTGGGCGTTGGTTTCCTGTGAGTCTCTGTCCCCTTTGAGAGCCTATTGGTATAGCTTGCTGTTAGCACCTGTGTATCTATCTCAGTATCGAAGGTGAAACTTCCCTAGCATTGACTGGAAAACAGTGGACACCGCTGTCTTTTCCATCAGGAGTCCCTCCGAGGTCAAAGTGTCTTTTTTTATACAGACATTATGTCCATTAAAATGCTCTTTACTTTTTTCCACCTTCACTGATATATAATTAATACTTTCTCTGGGCAGGGCTGGAGCGATAGCACAGTGGTAGGGCGTTTGCCTTGCACACAGCCAACATGGCCGACCCCAGTTCGATTCCTCCGCCCCTCTCGGAGAGCCCGGCAAGCTACCGAGAGTATCTCGCCCGCACGGCAGGGCCTGGCAAGCTCCCCGTGACGGATTCGATATGCCAAACACAGTAACAACAAAGTCTCCAATGGAGACATTACTGGGCCCGCTCAAGCAACTCGATGATCAACGGGAGGGTCTTTACTTTACTCTCTGGGTTTTTAAAGCTCAGCTTTTTTTACCAGTTCTCTGAAACATACCACCATAAATAATGAGTTCACCATGGTAAGAGTCATCATTGGGGTGGTTTTCTTTTTAATTTTATTTCCTCCTTACATTTTATATAAGCACTGTGGTTTACAAAGTTGTTTGTAATGATTTGTTACAGACATTAATTATTCCAACACCAGTTCGACTACCATTACACCTTCCCACCACCATTGTCTCCATTTTTCCCAGTCACCCATTAAATCTGCACTTGTAGCTGGTCCTCAATAACTTATTTTATATTGCTTATAAATAATTTGCTAAAAGAATGATCAAAAAATGTTTCCTTAGAAGAAAGTTAGTGAAGATTGTTGTATCTCACCATGGGAGCTTTTAAACCCTCATATAAGAGATTACTAAGATATTATTACAGGTTAAGCCTTTTGTAATTATATTTTGTTAATCGAGACTAGCTCTCTTCTACGTTACATCCCATCCAATCTGGTGTGCTATACCTGGCTTATCAGTGTTGGAGAGTTTGAGATGTCACTACAAGAAGACCAAAATTTTTAAGGAGGTGATATAGTGATATAGCTGGAGTTAAAATTTTAACTGGGTGGCAGCTTTGGGGTGTGCGCATGACTGCCTGGACTTGAGAAGTACTGGGAGATGAAGGAGGGGGTAGCCCGTCCCTGATTCTGAAAGCCTAGAGATTTCAGTCACAAAACCTGCATGCCTGAGTTTTTCGGCAGATTAATTTCTGGATGAGGTTCATCCTGAGCAATGGGGTCTGGCTGGGAGCATGGCAGTAATTGTGGAGTGTAGAAGCTTTCAGCTTCCAGGGTTCTGTTTTTTGGGGGGGGATGTCTCTGGGCTCATCCCCCCTCCTCAGAGTACCGTGGGACAACTCAGCCTTGTGTGGGGTCTGGAAGAATCTCTGCTGTAGGATGACATTGGTTTGTCCTTTCTGCCTTGCCACAGGGAGCTTAGGTTTATTGGGTTATTTCCATCACAGTGCTCCCATTCCTCTGTGTTTATTTGTAACCTCTTTCTTTGTTCTGTTAACCTGTAAATACTGCTTTTCTCTTCTCCTTAAGTTCTTTGCATAGTTACTTCAGAGCGATACCCTTTTTGTATAGACACAGGAAGCCAGTAAACATGCTATGCTTTTGTAACTTGGAATTAATTGACACCGAATGATATTCACTCCTGGCATCTGTTCTCTTGACTTAAGCCTCAGTTGCCCTTACTTCCTTGCACCCCAAAAGCAGGGTCCCAACGAGGGGCTGGATGGGCCCAGGGTAAGCAGTGAGCTACCCTGGCATCAAAATGGGCCTGGCTAAAGCGCCACAATACTTAACTGTAAGTTAAGAGCATGGTCATGGGCAAATTCTGTCATGATCCAAACAGTAACATCTAGATTAGGACCCTGCTAGGCTAATCTGGCCTGAGCACTGTAGTCTTGAGATCTATAGCGAGATGTTCCCAGGAGAGCCACCCTACAAGCTTAATATATCTCTTACTGTGTCCATACGAAATAACTAGTATTAAAAAGTAGAATTAAGATGTTAAGTTATTGAACTCAGGAGAGGAGAAACACCCTTAGGTAGTATTTTCCTCCCTTGAGCCTGATCAGCAATCAGGAAGGGCTTTTGATATGTTGATGAGAGACTAGAGAGAGATCAGGGCAGCAAGATGGAGTGCGGAGAGACTAGCTAGGGGGACTGAGGGAGAAGAATGTAGGGGAAGAATACAGGAGCTGGCGCGTGGAGAGACAAGAGACGCAGCTGTGAGAGGGAGCACGGAGAGATGAGTGGGAGAGACTGGAGGAGACAGGAATGAGGGGCAGTGTGAGGCTAGAATGGGGAGCTTAGAGAAACTGGAACAGGTGCGTTGTGAGAATGGAGTAAAAGGCAATGATCACCAACCAACCTGGCCCTCGTTTCCTCCTTCGTCCACCCATGGCATTGGCTGTCCTGGGTGGAGAAGTGGCTCGAGACCACCAAACGCAAGTGGAGAGAGGGAGGGAGGGAGGGAAGGAGAGGAGAGGGTGCCCAGGGGTCTCCCTGGCCGCCCGGAGATTTATTGATCTGCAACTTGTTGATCTCTTTCGATATTTATAAGTCTGGACCATGGGCAGTGAATAAGATTACTTATCATTAGATATTTTAGGAAAAAAATTTTCTCCAATGATTTGTAGTATATATTTTTCTCCCTTAGCTTTTGGGTCACACCTGGCAGTACTTTGGACTTAATCGTGGCTCCATGCTCAGGGATCACTCCAGACAGAGCAAATCTTACGCAGTGCTGGTGATTGTAACTGGGTTTGGCTGCATGCAAGACAAGCGCCTTACCCACTGTACTACTAAGGAATTTTTGTATGACCTGCCAATAATGATTTTGGTTTGTTGCTATTTTTTAACAGCACTGTAGCACTGTCCTCCCTTTGTTCATCGATTTGCTTGAGTGGGCACCAGTAACATCTCACAACTAATCGTGAGACTTGTTACTATTTTTGGTGTATCAAATCCGTCACAGGGAGCTTGCCAGGCTTTGCTGTGCAGGCGAGATACTCTTGGTAGCTTGCTGGGCTCTCCAAGAGGGCAGAGGAATCAAACCCGGGTCGGCCGTGTGCAAGGCAAACGCCCTACCCGCTGTGCTATGGCTCCAGATTTAATAGATTTAACAGATTCTTTAATATACTGTCTTAGACTTAAATGTACAACTTTGAATCCGTGGTAGGAAGGGAAGAGTAGCATTCTTTTCAAATACTTTTGGTATATATATAACTACCTTATTTTCCTTTCCAGGAGGAGAAGCTCTGAAATCACCCCAAAATGTAGAGGTTTCCATCATTGACGACAACATTACCCTGAAATGGGAGAGGAGTGATGAATACGACAAGAATGTTACTTTTTCCGCATATTATCAAATGTATGTTGCACTAACTTTTTTTATAAGCCAGAATCAACCAATTTTTTGTGTGATTCTTAACATTTGGGAATTTTCTTTTTTAGCATGTGCGGGAAAATGGGTTTTCATATTTTTAAAGCTATTCTGTGCCCACTTTACCATATGCTTTTTATGAGACAGAGAAAGACTCAGATACATCTTTGAGTATTGAAGCCAGAGGGTTTGGGGCCAGTGGTGGCAGATGCCACGCTCATCCACAGCCACGCCACTTCTGTTAGAAAGGGTACCACTTTCTGTACCTGTAAGTAGGACCTGAAACGAAGTGGATGTAGCGGACTGGAGATATCGCAAAATCACATCTGGAAATAGCCCTCCAGCCTGCTTGGCATCCCCAATCTCAGACAGGCAGACTTTGCTGCTCTTTCTGTCACGCACAAGTTTAGAAGCACCTGTTCATTGGCACGGGAGCTCCCTGCACTTGGCGTTTCTGTTTTCTGCCTCCTCCGTAGTACTCACTCTCTGCCCAGTTCACAGTTGCCAAGAGATGAGACACACTGGGAGCTGCCAAAGAAGATAGTACAGAGAATCCAGCTCCGGAAGCCTGGCTGTCTGATCGAGTATCAAGGCCTGATCTGCTGACTGTGGCCTCTGGCCACAAAAGAGCTGTAGTTCCTCAGTCGGTGAAGAAACAAGGCCTCAGCCTTTCAAAACAGGGGCCCCACTTCCCGCCTCAGCCCTCCAGAGCAGGGGCCTGGCTTCCCACATCAGCCCTTCGGAACAGGAGCCCACCCACCCCCTCCCCCTCCACAGCCCTCCAGAACAGGACACCCACTCCCCACCACAGCCCCACAGATTTGCTCTCTGATTCCTCATTAGTCAGTCTCCTGCTTTAGTAACATGTGTCAATGCTTGTCTTTGTGACCCATGGTACTTACACTTCTTACACATGGGTTATCTCAGGATGAATAATTTCAGAATACTTACCTTTTTAGAGTATTTTTAAGTAAACTTTTGGGTTTTATTACTAATTTTGTTATTTACTTGGTCTGGCATCTTAGTAAGGGACTCTTTTAGGTATAACAAAGATTATTTTAGGTTTCTCTATTTGATGTTGTCCTTATAAATAAAGAACAGGAGCTGGAGCAATAGCACAGTGGGTAGGGCATTTGCCTTACCCACGGTTGACCCAGGTTCAATTCCCAGCATCCCATTTGGTCCCCTGAGCACCGCCAGGGTAATTCCTGAGTGCAGAGCCAGGAGTAACCCCTGTGCATCGCCAGGTGTGACCCAAAAAGCAAAAAAAAAAAAAATTATAAATAAGTAAAGAACAGTGTCTCAGGCCAGATGATAGTACAGAGGGCAAGGTGGTTGCCTTACACACAACCAAACCAGGTTTAATCCTCAGCATTTTATATGGTGCCCTGAGCCTCACCAGGAGAGACCCCTAAGTGCAGAGTCAGGAGTAAGCCCTGAGTACCACCTGGTGTGTGCTCTGCCACCCCCCCAAAAAAATAAGTCAACACAGTCATGGACTTTGTTATCATAATCCTATTCTTTTACACATTGTATTTTATTTTGGTTTTTGGACACACCCAGTGGTACTCAGTGCTGACTCCTTCCTTGCTCTATGCTCAGGGACCATTCCTGATAGGATCAGGGGACCATATGTTGGTTCCAATGGGTGACTGCTTGCAAGGCAAGTGCACAATTTGCTATAGTATCTCTCTGGCCCCACACATTATTATATACTTATACTAAATGCTGTAGTCTGTAATAATGTCTTTTACGCTCCCATTCTGACCTGGGTGTCAAATGCATTACTTTCGTCTCGATTCGTATCGGCTCCACGGGCTTTATGAATCATTTCCTTGTAAAATAGATGCCAGATTATGAATTAAAGGAACGCCATATGGTGATCATGTGGTGTCATACGAACTTTAAACAAGTTCCCTGGGTTTAATTCTATTCTTTGAGGCCAGACTATTAGCATACCACTAACCATAGGATGCAAGCTGGATCAGCAGCATGTGTGATGCACGTGACATTTTTTTGTTACGTTTGCAGGGTGGGATGTATATTCATTCAGTCAACAAATAGCAGATGCCTTTGATGCCAAACACTGAGTGCTCAGAAGTCATCAATGAACCTGAGCGACAGCATGATGTTATGTTATGAAATTGGCTTCATGAAATACATTTTGTATTCATTTATTTATAAATTGTTTTCTGCTCTGATCTAACCGTATGTGGTAGAACTTTTTTTTTTTCCTTAAAGTATAAAATAACTGCCATTACAATAGTTCCCTTGTATGTAAAAGCAGCTGTGACAGAGGAACCAGGGCCTCCTGAAGCAGGAAAATAGAGGAAGGGAGAGAGACTGATTTGAAATTTTTTTGATAAGGCTTTCTATTTATAATAAAAGTTCTTCATTAGAATGGGTCAATGGTTTGTTGGCCTTCTGCCTGTAGCTCGTTTTACTTTGAAATCTGTGCCCCAGACCTGAAGCAGTAGGAGGTCTACTACCCGGGCTTCCTTTACCTCCTACTTGCTTGGGATTTGTTACCTAATAAGTGATATTTGAGAAAAACAAAGCTATGCAAAATTTGTTTGATTGGATGTTTAATTTAGATTTTAAGTATATGAATTTTTAGAAATTAATTCTGATGTGGCAATGTGGAGGAGTTTCCTATAAGTGTTCTTGTTTAAACTGTTAAAACCAGTGCTTTTCTCAGAGGTGGAACAGAAAAAGTAGAAGGAAAAATTTGCCAGAAGTATCCCATTTGCTAATGTGTAGTTTTTGGTAATTTTGAAAGTGTTTCCTTTCAGAAAATTAAGGTAGAATTATGTTTCTGTCACTACAAAAACTTTTTGGATGCTGCCCCTGGTTTCTTTCTGGGGGTGGAGGCATTGAGGGACCACACCTGGCAGTGCTCAGAGCTTACTTCATTCTCTGCACTCGGAGTGGAGCTTGAGAAACTATATTGGGTACCAGGGATTGAACCCAGATCATTTGTGTGCATGGCAGACTCCCTATCTTCTGTACATATTGCTCCAGTCCACCTACCCTGGTTTTTAAAGCATCTATGTCTGCAGGGCTGGAGAGCTGGTATAGTGGGGAAGGAGATTTCCTTACATGTGACTGACCCAGATTCAATCCCCACCCGCCAGCTACCAGAAATGATCCCTGAATTCAATCAGCTAATCAATGGCTGAATAAATAGCAGTACTCCTACAAAAAAAAAAAAAAGAAAGAAATGATCCCTGAGCACAGCCAAGTGTGGCACCAAAATAACAAAGCAAACAAAATGATGTCTGCAATATTAGCCCCCCCCCCAAAAAAAAATGAGCAACAGCTAGAGCTATGGATTAGATTTAACAAAAATCTCTTTTTCCTTTTTTTTTTGTTTGTTTTTGAGCAGTGCTCAGGTGGCCTAGGGGCCTCCCCAGGAATGCTTGGGGACCTCCCTGCAGTGCATGGCCTCTAGGACCATGCCCAGCAACAAAATTCGGGAAACCATATGGTGTCAGGGATCCAACAGGTCAGCCCATGCCAGTCATGTGCGCTGCTTCCAGCACTGTCAATCCAGCCTGTGCCCTTTTAAGGTCATGGAGGTAAAACATAATTTTTGAAATCTAAAGTTATGTTGCCTATCTCTCTTTCACTTCAGCCTTTTTTCCTCTCATGATACCTTTCTATTTTAGACATGCTTTAAGAATTTGATTTCTTTATGTTTTTGAAGAATCTACATCTATTTTTAAAAAGCCAACACTCAGTTCACTTTGACTTTATGAATCACTTTTTCTTCTGCTCCTTTGAGCTCTTAATGGAACAATCCACATAATTAGAGAACCGTATCTAAAAATAAATTGGACCAGAGAGAGAGAGTATAGCGGTAGGGTGCTTACTGTGTGCACAGCTGACCCAGGTTCCATCCCTAGTACTCCGCGTGATCCCCCAAGCCTGCTAGAGGTGATCCCTGGGAGCAGAGCCAGGAGTAAGACCCAGTACTGCTGCATGCATCCCCCAAACTAACTCAGAAATAACTCAGAATTATTTTATAAATAATGATACAGTGTTATGCCTGGAGGAGGGGAAGCTTGTACATTAAAATGTTTGCATTAATTCAAACAGAAGACATCACTGTTAAACTAGCTTTATAAATTAGCATCTGTTATGAATTTATTTAGCGCTATTCAGGTGTTTGCACAGTCAACTGTCTTTTTATTTTAAAGACCTTTGGAGATTAACTGGACAGAACTACCTGGGTGTCAACACGTTACGACTTTCGAATGCAGCTTTTCTTCAGATGCATTAGAAGATATTTATAAAGAAGTTCAGTTGCGCGTAAGAGCAGAGAAAGGAAGTGATACTTCTCCATGGTATGAAGTTGATTCATTTGTACCATATAATGAAGGTAAGGAAAGAATTTATCAGCTTAATCGCATCATATTCTTTTTTGTTTTTTTTTTGTTTAACAAAGGCAACACTCAGTGGGAAACCAAACCAGGGGCAGTGCTCAGGGGTTACTCCTGGCTTTGCACTTAGCATTTACTCCTGGCAGGCTCAGGGGATCATATGGGACACTGAGAATTGAAGTCACAGTGGCTGCACTTGCCTTGCTGTGCTATTGCTCCAGCTCCCTACATTATATTCTTTGTCACTGTCACTGTCCTCCCGTTGTTCATCGATTTTCTCGAGCGGGCCCAGTAACGTCTCCATTGGAGACTTTGTTGTTACTGTGTTTGGCATATAGAATACGTCACGGGGGAGCTTGCCAGGCTCTGCCGTGTGGGTGAGATACTCTCAGTAGCTTGTCGGGCTCTCTGAGAGGGGCAGAAGAATGGAACCCGGCTCACTGGGCCAACCGCACACAAGGCAAACACCCTACCACTGTGCTATCGCTCCAGCTTATATTCTTTATTGAATATTTATAGAAAATTATCCAGGCCCATTCAGTGTAAAATCATCCATCTTTAAATCATCTTTTTAAAAAAAATTGGCTGCAGCTATAGTACAGTTCAATCCCCAGCAACCCTTTGTGGTCCCAAAGCTCACCAAGAGTAATTGAGCCAGGAGTAAGCCCTGAGCACAGCCAGATGTTGCTCCTAAACAAAAGAATACGTAAAGTAAAGTAAAGGCCCTCCCGTTGATCATCGATTTGCTCGAGTGGGCCCAGTAACGTCTCCATTGGAGACTTTGTTGTTACTGTGTCTGGCATATCGAATACTCTCGGTAGCCTGCCGGGCTCTCCGAGAGGGGCGAAGGAATCGAACTCGGGTCGGCCATGTTGGCCGCTTGTAAGGCGAACGCCCTACCGCTGTGCTAATTTTTTGTTTGTTTTTGGACTACACCCAGCAATGCCCAGGGATTACTCCTGGCTTTGAACTCAGGAATCACTCCTGATCAGACGTGGGGGACTATAGATGGCGTGCCAGGGATCAAACCCAGGTCAGCCACATGCAAGGCAAATGCCCTAACTGCTGTACTATTTCTCCAGCCCCCAAAGTTAATTTTTTTTTTAAATCCAAAGATTCCCTTAAGCCTGGGTCTCTTAACTGCTCTAATGCCAGTCTTCTCATTTTCTGAAAGTGTTTCTCAAGTTTGGTCCCCTACTTCCTTTCTGGGGGGATGTTCGTAGAATCTAAATTGTTTTCATAATAACTCAGGCGTATGCGCCTTTTCCTGTTTGTTCTCTTCAGTGCACGGTGAGGTTTGGTTGAGCTGGTTTGATGTGCGATTGTGGTGACTGAACTCGGGCATAGGTGTAAAATGCACCCCTTCTTTTAGAAGAAGGGTCCCCCAAGTGGTGCTCAGGGGCCTCCAGGGCTCTGGGAACCATGTTGTGCCAGGCATTGAACCCTGGTCAAGTGTGTGCCAGGCAAGTGCCCTGACTCTCGTGTTCCATTTTCCAGTCCCACAACTGTGTTCTTTATTAAAAGACATTCAAGAACTTTGAACCAAATATGAAAATAAGCAGCACTCTATATTAAATTTTTCTTTGGGGGACTCTGATAATCTTTTGAGTCCACCCCTGGTGATGTCAGAGGTTACTCCTGGCTCTGTGCTCAGGAGTCACTCCCGATGGGGCACAAGGGACCCTAGATGGTGCTGGGGATGAAACCTGGGTTGTCCACATACAGGCAGGCACCTTACCCACTGTACTATTGCTCCTACTCTGGTAATCGTTAATGAAAAATATTTGTTACTATGTGATGGGCTAATTTTTCATGAACTAGTATTTTTTAAGGGGTTGTTGTTTGTTTCAGTATTTAATTTGCCTCTCTCCCTCTCTCTTTCTCTCTCTTTCTCTTTCTCTCTCTCATTCCTTTACCTCAGAGTATCATTGATGTCTCTTCTTCATATCCATCTGTTAACAAATTCTGAAGGACCAGCTCTTAGAGAATAACCTGAGTATGATTTCTTCTTAGTCCCACAACCCTGGCTACACACCTTCACAAAACCGTGTTCATCTGTCACTTGAACTACTGCAATAGCTTCTTTTGTTTATTTATTTATTTATTTTATTGAATCACTGTGAGATACACCGTTACAAAGCTATTCCTGAATGATTGCACTCAATTGTGAGATGTAAATAAACATAGTATGAGACAAATACCCAAGGACAGTAGAAACACGGGCCAGAAGGGTTGAAGGTTGGAAGCCTGCCTCAAGTGCTTGGAGAAAAGGCAGTTGGGATAGAGAAGGGACCACTATGGTAGTGGTAGTTGAAATGGTCACTGGATAAGAACTGCGTGTTGGAAGGAGGTAAAGGAACAAACAGGATAACCTCTCAGTACTTGTATGGCAGTGCTTCTTAACGGGAACTCCTGCTTCATCCGACATGGACCGGGATGGGGCTTTCCGAATGTCCGTCAGATTATGCACGTTTCGGATCTCAGCCCTCCAGTGACTTGCCAGTGACTCGAAAGTTCTTCCTCTGTTACCTAATCAGATTTCCAACCACACGGCCCTCTGATCCTCCTTTTTCTCCACTGAGACTGTGCTCATTCCCGCCTTGGGCTGTGCTCTTGATGGCGCACTCAGTGTTAAATGCTTTCCTCTAGGGATTTGTATGACTTCCTCTTTTCACTTTTTTTTTTTTTAAGAAGCGGCTGAGTTGTGTCCAAAGGTCTTTCCCTAGCTTGCCGTGTCAAATAGACCTCGCTACCATTCATTGCCCCTTTATGTCATGTTGTTTTTTTCTCTTGTAAAATATATAACATTTATTTGACTTTTGGCTGTTGATGCCATTACGTGTAGGCTATGCAAGTGATTTTCTGCCAAGCCTACACATACATTTATTTGGGTTTGGATTTTTGTATGTTTGTTTTTGGGGTCACACCAGGCAGTGCTCAGGGTTTACTCCTGATTCTGCTCTCAGGGATCACTCCTGGTGGGGCTCCGGGGACCATTTGGGGTGCAGGTCAGCTTCATACAAGGTAAGTGCCGTGCCTCCAGCCCCCATGTGTTTTCTTTGGGTGTGGGGAGGGGGGCACACCCAGCATTGCTTAGGACATACTCCTGGCTGTGCGCTCAGGGATGACTGGGCATGAGGGATTGAACCCTTGCTGACCACGTCAAAGCAAGCACCTTATCCATTGCTTCATTTCTCCAGCCCTTGCATAGTCTGTACTTAAGTGCTGTGAATTATTTTTTAACTCTGTATTTTAACACTACGTTAATGAAGTTACATTTTTATAGCTCGGATTGGTCCTCCAGAACTACGTTTAGAAGCTGAAGATAAAGCGATAATAATTACCATCTCTCCTCCTGGAACCGAAGATGATAACATGTGGGCTACAGAACGTTTAATGTTTAAGTATAATATAGTCATCTGGAATAGTTCGGGTATGGAAGTAAGTATTTTTTGTACTTTTGATGTGTGAGAAAGATGACATACATTAATTCTAAAATTTTATAGTATGTATTTGAAAGTCACCGGCTCCTTTTTTTTCCCCCATTTTAGCAAAGTGTTGAAGCGGTTCATCCCAGATACAAAATTTATAAACTCTCACCGAAAACTACTTATTGTTTAAAGGTTAGAGCAATGCTACTTTCAGCAGGAAAAGTTGGTTTCTATAGTCCAGTATATTGCATAAATACCACAGGTAAGGAATTTTGCTTTATGTGTTTTTCATTTTACTTATGTACGTATGCATTTATGTTTGGCTCTAGCCAACACCCAGCTGTGCTCCGGGCTTACTCCTGGCTCTGCACTCAGGATCACTCCTGCTGGTGCTTGTTCCCAAGGAAGTTCAGGGGATCAGACCCAGTTGGTAGCAGGCAAGGCAAGCGCTCTGCCTGCTGTACCCATCTTTCCCTTCTACTGGTATTAATGATACAAAATAACCCCTAACTCCTCTTCCCCCTGCTGTTCCTGCAACATACTTTCACCAGATCCTGTCTCACTAGGGTAAAAATAAGTGCATTTATGTATGTTCTTTGTCTTCTAGTGGAAAATAAACTGCCTCCACCCGAAAATGTACAGCTTGAGGTTCTAAATGAGGACTATGTTCTTAAGTGGGATTACCCTAATGACTCCCACGAAAAGGTGACCTTTCGGGCTCAGTGGCTCTCGTAAGTTGTGTTCCATAAATTTCCTTGTGCCAAGTTTTACTGTGCATAGTGCTGCTTTGCTTTTTTTGTTTGTTTGCTTTGTTTTGTTTTTGCTTTTGGGGGCACACCCGGCAATGCACAGGGGTTACTCCTGGCTCTGCACTCAGGAATTACTCCTGACGGTGCTTGGGGGACCATCTGGGGTGACAGAAATCGAACCTGGCTTAGCCTTGTGCAAGGCAAATGCCCTCCTCATTGTACTATCACTCTGGCCCCTGCTGCTAATGCCATAATGCGCTTCACCCACGTGCTTCCAAAGGTGTGATTCCCAGTTACAGGTATTTATTCTCCCATGTGGAATGCTTGACACGTGACATAGGTGTTTTCTTCAGAACCCGCTTCTTCCAGGAACCCTGAAAGACCCATCTCAACCCCACTGTTCTGACTTGTTCAGTTCAAGTTAGCCTTATGTTTGCTTTTTGTTGTTGTTTGGATTTTTGTTCGTTTGTTTTATTCTGGGGCCCCACTCAGCTGTACTCAGGACTTAATCCTGGCTCTGCACTCAGGGACCTGAGTGGACCAGCCTGGTGGGCTTGGGGGACCAAATGGGGTACTGGGAATTGAGTCTGGGTCTGCCATATGCAAGGTAAGCGCCCTAACCACTGTATAATGGCTGCAATCCTCTATTTGCTTTTTTTTTTTTTCTAGTGGTTGTTACACATTCTTTTCCTTTTGAGGGAAGGGGCATTTGGGCTGCCAGAGAGCTAACCCGGATGCCAATGCTCCACCCATTGAACTGTCCTGTGGCCCATTATGGTTCTACTGTGAAGAGCGACTGCACCCTCACCACCACCACAGTGCCTGGCCCCCCAGCACAGTCCTGAAGTTCCTCCAGTTCCCCTCTCCGTTCACTCCCTCCCCTCATTGCTTGGTAATCTCAGTTGTATACTTTGAGGGTTTGTAGTGATTCACTACTTCTGTTCTTGTGTGTCGTCTCCCTGTATACCACAGATGAGTGAGCTCACCCAGTATTTGTCTTCCCTCAAACTTATTTCACTGAACAGGATGCACTCCAGTTCCTTCCAAGTTGCCTCAAACTGCAAGGGTTCATCCTTGCTTAAAGCTCTGTAGTGGGGCTGGAGCTGTAGTACAGTGGGTAGGGCATTTGCCTTGCACACGGCCAACCCGGGTTTGATTCCCAGCATCCCATATGGTCCCTTTAGCTCCACCAGAAGTAATTTCTGAGTGCATGAGCCAGGAGTACCCTGTGCATCGCTGGGTGAGACCCAAAAAGGGTGGGAAAAAAGCCCTGTAGGGCTGGAGCAATAGCACAGCAGGTAGCACGTTTGCCTTATACACTGCCGACTGGCTGTCGACTGGGCCGACCTGTGTTCGATTCCTCCTCCCCTCTTGGAGAGCCTGGCAAGCTACTGAGAGTATCTCACCTGCACAGCAAAGCCTGGCAAGCTACCCGCGACGTATTCGATATGCCAAACACAGTAACAATAAGTCTCACAGTGGAGACGTTACTGGGCCCGCTCGAGCAAATCAATGAATAACGGGAGGACAGTGCTACAGTATTTCATATACTCTGACATATAGTAATGAAGTGACCACCGCTTCATTGTCCATCGGTCTCTTGGACATTTGAGTTGTTCCCATAGCCCGGCTATTACACTTCCTGCTGGAATGAACATGGGTATGTCTGTATCTTTTTGAGTTCGTGTTTTTGTGCTCTCGGGGTAGACGCTAAGAAGCAGAATCGTACCTCTGTTTATGGTGGGTCTAGAAATTGCTTCTGGGCACAGGAGATTGAGGACAGTAGAGCTGCCAGGGCCAGTTAACACAGGGACACCAGCTATGTGAGCTTCTGACAACTTGCAGGCAGGTGCTAGAAGCCATAGTTTTTGCTGTTTCTTCTGGATATTGGCATGACGTACCAAACTCTGGAGATCCAGCAGACTAAAACAGTTTTCTAGAAATTAAAAGTATTTAGCTGGCATTTTCTAGCAAAGTGTGATGAGGGGTGGGGGGCAGAAGGATAGTACAGCAAGTAGCATGTTTGCCTTGTACATGGCTGATCTGGGTTCAATCCCCGGCATCCCGTATGGTCCCCTGAACCACCAGGAGTGATCCTTGAGTGCAGAGCCAGGAGTAACCCCTGATCACCACCAGGTGTAGCCGCAAAACCAAAAAAAAAAAAAAAAAAAAGATTTAGAGATGTAATGCAGAAATGTTAAGGGTTAGAGAGATGAGAAAGTGAATGGGCTTGGCGAGCTCTTGAGAACCCATTTGGTGGACAGGAAATGTGATCAAAACCTTGACTTTTGAATCAGATTTCAAAATAGGTAGCTGAGGGAGGGCAGAGCTGCACACGGCAGAAAACTCAGAATACGAACAAATGTACTTTAGGTCAGAGTGGGAGGGAACCGATTGCTTTCTGTTGCTCTGGAATGAAGTAACTTCAGATACAGCAGCTAATGCAGCCGTTTCTGATCTCTCTGGCTCCTGGTCGGGAGCCTGGCTCCTCTGGGCCCACTCCTGGGAACTATCGGGGTCATCAGGCAGGACCGCGGCCTCTGAGGTGGTGCAGGCAGACCCTCGCCTCAGCTCGGGAGGTTTTGGGCAGAATGCATCACCGGCAGCCTGCTTCCTGGCCTTGAGACCCTCGTAGGGTGAGATCAGGCCCACCAGGTAGTCCTCAGCTCATGGGCGCCTTTAATCAGGGGCAGATTCCTCTACCTTTGGCCCTAAAAGGGCACCGCTGTCTAGAGAGACGTGGCCTCCATCCTGTTCACAGCACCTGCCTACCCGGGGAGGGATGGGAGGTGACTGGAGGTAGGGGTGGGGGAGTTTGGAGGCCACCTCAGCCCAACACTGAGGGGCAGGCCTGCAGGGAGGACAGCAGTGACTCTGGGCCTAGGGGAACAGTGTGTGAGGAAGCAGAGTCAGTGGGGTGGGCTGATAGCAGGCTTCGGCCCACGAGTGCCGTGGAGATGTATACACGTCGGGGCCTGGCTGGCGTGAGGCCCGTTAGCGATCGGCGAAGAGAACCCCATGGGATGCGATGCAGCGGACTTGGGAACTCAAAAGCTGCTGTTGCTGCAGGCTGGGACAGAGAACCTTTAAGCTGGTGGTCTCTGAGCAGCGAACCTCACCTTCCTGGCTGCACCCGGCGGGCCCCACACTGGGTTGGGCTCACACGGCGCTGGTATACCTAGGTTGCACACACACCCACTCTGTGCCGGGACGTGCTCAGCAGCGGGCTCTCCGGGCGGGAGACCCTTCTCTGCCGCGGTCACTGCTTTGCTGCTCCTTAGTGGTGCTGCTGCACAAATACCCTTCCATGGCTGTGTCCGTGCTGAGTGGCCTGGTCCCCCTCCATGGCCGCGTCCATGCCAGCAGTGTCCTGGCACAGAAGAAGCACACTGGTGCCATTAAAGCCTCTCCTTCCCAGGTGTAGATCCTGGAGCTGGGGGCGGGGGGTTCAGGATCCATTGCCTTTGTAATGACAACAGTGATGTGTGAGTGTGTGAGTGTACAGAATCTTAATTTTTAATTATGACCATTTTTTTTGTAATTTTTTTTATTTGCTTTTTGGGTCACACCCGGCACAATACACAGGGGTTGCTCCTGGCTCTGCACTCAGGAATTACTCCTGGCAGTGCTCAGGGGACCATGTGGGATGCTGGGATTCAAACCCAGGTTGTCCACGTGCAAGGCAAACGCCCTACCCAGAGTGCTATCACTCCAGCCCCAATTATGACCATTTTAAAGAATCACCACGAGATACTCCGTTACAAAGCTGTTCATGATTGGGTTTCGGTCATAAGACGTTCCAACACCCGTCCCTTCACCGGTGTACATTTCCCAGCACCAGTGACCCCAGTTTCCCTCCAGCCCCATCACCCCACCGGCCTCTATGGCAAAAACTCTCTCTTCCCCTGCTCACTACCTAACCCTTCCCTCTCTCTCTGTCTTCCTCCCTCTCTCTCTCTCTCTCTCTCTCTCACTCTCTCTCTCTCTCTCTCTCTCTCTTTCCTCCCTCCCACCAGCATTGTGGTTTGCAATACGTACTGACAGGTTATCCTATTTGCCCCTTTACTTGCAGCAGCTCTTGTCCAGAGGGATCATTTACAGCTATCATTGTCATAGTGGTCCCTTCTCTGTCCTGACTGCACTGCCACCCCTTGCCCTCCCCTCCCCCACTTCCCCTTTTCACAGGCCCCGAACTATGGGCCAGTCCTCCTGACCTTTGTTTCTCCTTTCCTTGGGGTTGCTCTTATACCGTGTTGTTCATATCCCACAGCTGAGCGCAGTCCGTGTGTGTCCCCCTCCCCCTGCTCATTTCACTCAGCGTGATACTCTCCGTGTCCCTTCATTTATAAGCCAATTTCATGACCTCATTTTTTTTGGCCATGTTCAGCATCTTCTCTGCCGCATCCCTGAGGCTGTCACTCAGTTTCTGTGTGCTGACAAGTGCCTTGTCCCCCTCCATGGCTTTTTGGGTCACACCCGGCACAATACACAGGGGTTGCTCCTGGCTCTGCACTCAGGAATTACTCCTGGCAGTGCTCAGGGGACCATGTGGGATGCTGGGATTCAAACCTCTGTCACACCCTGCAGCGAGCTCTGGTTTGCTTTAGGGTTGTGGGTGTGTCTCTGGAACTGTTCCTGAGGGTGAAATCCATTCGCTTCTGTAGCCCCCTCCCCGCCCAGAAGGAATAGACAGGAGACTCTGGGTTCATGTTTTTGGAATGAAAAAACTAAAACCAACTTCTTTGTTTTAAAAGTGCCTATATAAAAATGCTTCCTGGGCACCACGCAGAGAAATGGAAAAAAATCCAGGACTGTGAAAATGTCAGAACTACCTATTGTGTGATCCCACAAGCCGTGTTCCTCAAAGGAATTCACTTTATCCGTGTCCAAGCATCTGAAGGAAATGCTTCATCTTTTTGGTCTGAAGAAAAAAAATTTGATACTGTCATGCAAAGTAAGCAAATAAGTGTTTCGATTGCAATCCTCTGATTCCGTATAGGTTTTTTTTTTTTCTAGTTTAAATTTAACTGTGTGTTTGCAATTTTTTTTTTAGCTGTAATACTTCCACCAGTCATTAACATGAAACCCACTGATGATCGTTCAATGCATATCTCTATCGGTTCCCCAGAAGATTCTGAAAACAAGTTTGTGGACCAGGATTACCCCCTAATTTATGAAATTGTTTTTTGGGAAAACTCTACAAATGCCGAGGTAAAAAGATCCTACTTACATTTAACATTGTAACTAGGATTGGGAGCACTCCTTTTTTTGTGTGTGTGTTTCGGGTCACACCTGGCAATGCTCAGGGGTTACTCCTGGCTTTGCATTCAGAAATCACTCCTGGCTGTGCTCAGGGGACCATATGGGATGCTGGGAATCGAACCCAGGTTGGCCGCGTGCAAGGCAAACGCCCTACCTGCTGTGCTATCACTTCAGCCCCCAGGGAGCACTTCTTGATGGTGACACTTTGGGAGTTCTTGTTTTTAATTGGCACCACCTCTAGTGATGAGGTAGCACTCTTGGACCACCGGGGTCACTTCTGATGGTACCCATGCTGTGCTGAGGAGAAGCTGGGGCCTCACACAAGACCACTGAGCACCCCCACCTGCCAAAAAAACCCTCAATATTTCAAGGACCAGATCAACTGTATTGTGGGTAGAGAGCTTGCCTTACAGACAGCCAACCCGGTTTCGATCCCCAGCATCCCATATGGTTCCCTCCCCTCCCCCTCCACCCCCCCCCCCCCAGCACCGCAAGGAGTCATTCCTGAGTGCAGAGCTAGGAGTAACCCCTGAACATCACTGGGTGTGACCCAAACAGGAAAAAAGGGGGGGGGGACTTACTTTTTCAGAAAATAGATATTCCTTGTCTGCTTTCCTAAAGTGACTAAATTTTATCCATGATTAACTTTTCTTTTTATAGACGGTGTATGTTGAGAAAACTGATTTTACTATTGATAAGTTGAAAACGCAGACGGTCTATTGTGTGAAAGCCAGAGCCCTCGTTGAGGATGAGAAATGGAACCTGAGCAGTGTGTTCAGTGACAGTCAGTGCGAGGAAACCAAGCCAGGTGGGGATCTTCCCTCACTCTCTACAACAGTGTGATAGGCTGCCTGAGAACAATTCAGATGATTGGAACCGATGAAATATTCTATGGTTTCCCTCCATCCTGCCATTCAATTAGCAGATTTTGAACTTTGTTGTTGTTATTGTTGCTGTTTATATAATCCTTACCTATCTGGAAATCGACTCACTTTTTTAATGTGGGACTGACTGTCTCCTTTTGTAGTTTATAGTTTCCAAGGTTGCTGATGGATGCCTAGTCACATGGTTTTTATATTTGGGCTCATTGCGTGTTACAGAAGAATTACTAGAGAATATTATGGCTGAATTAAGCCTTATGTCAATACCTATTCTTCACTTTTCTCTTATACTTTCTGAGCCATTTTTATGTGCAAAATACCTCTACAGCCAGGTTGGCACTCTCAGAAATATATAGGAATTTTATTTAATGGATGTTCCATTTTCTTTCACATGGCTAACCTTTTGAACAGATTCTGTTAACATTGTTACCATATTTGTGTGTCAGAACTTGTAGCAATACTAAATTTTTTTTTTTTCTTTAGAAACCTCTACAGAGAATATGCTTGTAGCTGGAGTTTTCGTTGTATTACTTATAGTTCCAGCTCTTACTTTGGTTGTGAAAATCTTCTGGAAATATATCAGTTTTGTTTATTTTCCACCACATAAGCCTCCTTCCACGATAAATGAGGTATGCTATTTGCGTCAAGGCTAGGACTTTCTTTAAATGAACTGTATTTGATTTTAACAGGGAAAAAAATTTTTTTCTTAATAGCAGAAAATAAAAGATAATGATTTGGGCATTTTCTTTAAGTTTCAACAAGGGGGCTGGAGAGATAGTATAGCATATTGGTAGGGCACTTGCCCTGCATGCCACTGACCTGGGTTCAATCCCTGGCATCCCATATGGTCCCCAAAGCACCGCCAGGAGTCATTTTTGAGTAGAGCCAGCAGTAACCCCTGAGCATTGCCCGGTGTGGCCCAAAAGACAAAAGGGGCAGGAGCAATAGCACAGTGGGTAGGGCATTTGCCTTGCATGCAACCAACCCAGGTTCGATTCCCAGCATCTCATATGGTCCCCCGAGCATCACCCGGAGTAATTCCTGAGTGCATGAGCCAGGAGTAACCCCTGTGCATCGCCAGGTGTGACCCCCCCCCCCAAAAAAAAAGATAAAGAAAAAATTTCTCTTAAGTTTAGAGGTAGTCATTTAATGGGGTCTTCTCGGAGTGGGGACAACAGCCATGTCCACCTCCCACAGCCACCATCAATGTTAACCATTGACCCAGACCATAGATCCTTAAGTCTCTGCAGCCCCAGGCCACGCAACACCTCCAAATTCCTCAACACTGAAATTCCAGTAGGAGCACACCCAGTTCGATGGGAAAGTAACATAAATGCCTAAACCAAACCAGCGAAATCACCACACAGAAGGCTCAACTAGCAACAAACTGCTTAGTGAATTCTGAGACAAGAACTTCATGACCCGGTGATGACATAAATTTTCACATTAAAAAAATTGATTTTTAAACACCCATTTTAATATTGAAGTTTTGTTATATAATCAGTTTCAACTCTAGAATTGTATCAATAGTTTTGACTCTTGTCTACATTAAAAAAGAAGTATTTCTTTACCTTTTTTTTTTAAAGGAGACATTTAATGCAACTTATATACAGTAAGGCACATTCTTAATTTCCTATGTTTCTGGCAGTTGGCTACCACAGCACATAGTCCCGCGTTTAAAATCTAAGAAAATAGACCAAACATTACCAGCAGTACAGAAAGTACATTTTGGGGATAAAAATCACAGAATGGTGTAACAGGACTGAGTTTCCCATGGCCACTGCACCCAGGCTTTTGCTGGTGCTGCTATGAGGGTAGCTTGTTTTTTGAAAGCCTGAAATCTGGACCCAAGCTTTTCTCTGCCCCTGTGGAGAGGTATGCACTTCCGGTGGGCTTCCTGTTGTTTTGCCTAAGAAACTGTTGAGTTAAGCAGCCTTCCAGGGGATCCCCAGTCTTCCCATATGGTCCCCTGAGCACCTGCCAAGAGTTAATTCCTGTGTTTGGAGGATCCTCCCAGGAGGGGAGATGCATGTCGAAAGTAGACTATGGACTGAACATGTTTGCCACTCAATGCCTCTTTTGCAGACCACAACAACCAAAAGGAGAGAGAGAACACAGGGGATTGCCCTGCCACAGAGACAGGGGGGATGGGGGTGGAGGGATATTATCCATGGTGGTGGAAAATGGGCACTGGTGGAGGGATGGGTATCTGATCATTGTATAATTGAAACCAAAGCACAAAAAATTGTAAATCTACAACTTTAAATAAAATAAAATAAAGGGGGAAAAAAAAAGAGTTAATTCCTGAGTGCAGAGTCAGGAGTGTGTGACCCAGAGAAATAAAAATAAATAAAGTTAGAGTTCATTGTCTGAAGTACTTAAGAGGAGCTGATAACAAGAGCTTATTACTCATTGAGCAGGAAGAACTAATTCATCACTCTTACTTTTTTCTGAATGCTTGCAGGTTATTCAGAAATAATTTTATTTTGGAATAGAATTTCCACAGCCCAGTGGTCTCCTCTCTCCTTCCACTCCCCGCAGGGCACCCCTTGCTGCTGTTTAAGGTGCTTTTCAGGTCCCTCCCCAGGAGATCCTAAGGTCTCAGCTCTCACTATGTAACAGAACCTAAACCAAAAGATATGTTTTCTACTCATTAAACATAAGCTAAAGATATTAGAACTAGAAAACTAATTATTTTTTAAGTCATTTAAAATAACCTATTTCTATTTCTCTTCTGCAAATTAGGATCTCTCCGAACAGCCGCTCAAGAACCTACTCCTTTCCACTTCGGAGGAACAAACTGAACGGTGTTTTATAATCGAAAATGTAAACAGCGTTACTATAGTAGAAGACGTTCGTCAGATCGATGAGAATCACAAACAGTACAGTTCCCAGACAAGCGAAGATTCTGGCAACTATTCTAATGAAGATGAAAATAATGAAAATAAAGCAGATGAGCCGGAAAGCGAAAACTAACGGTGTAAGTAGAAGCTGTTCTAGTGAAGATAAAAATTAAATTAAAAAAAAAAAACATGAAAATAAAGCAAGCGAGCAGAAGAGAAGGAAAGGGTGTCACCAGACCCGGTCTCTAAAATATGGGTTTTGCAAGCGCTCCAGGAGGGCAAGTTCCTGGCAAGTACCTGGCAGGTATTTGCTTGTTAGAGAAGAGAAAGAAAAAAAAAATAGGTGCAGATTCCAGGTTCTGAAAATACAGGCAAATACTTCGCTGTTTACAGATGAAATGACAGAAATTTGGAGAAAAGGTATGTACTTTCTTTTGTGTACTCTTGAAAGAACTGATGCTGACTCAGTCTTGGGTAAGCTGGGTGAAATCCAGAAGACCCCCTCCTTCTTGAATGTTCTCTGTAGTTCGTGGCTGGCTGTTGCGTGCTGGCCTTTGCGGTCTTCAGTTCAACTCTCTTTATGGCAGTGCTGCTCGTAGCTGTGTCTTCAGCTACTCTTCGTTCCCGGCGTGGGGATACATTCCGTTGCAGGGATTCTTCTGGTCTTGTCCTTCGACTCTGAAAACTCCGCCCACAAAGCCCGAATACCACTGCTCCCTTGGTCTTCTAAAGACGCTCGGTTGTTCTAGAATAAATATACACAGAGAGAGGAGCCTTCAAAGCTCTGTGGTAGAGATCGTGTGTGTGTGACGGACGCGTGAGGCCCTGGGCACCATCCCCGGCGTTGCACCAGCCTCGACTGCAACAGGCTTGCAGGACTGCTATTGATCCCAAGAACCCTGAGCCCAGATCCAGACCCTTCCCAAGGTGCAGGGTCCAGCCCAGGTCTTTCCACACTGTGCATTGAGATATCTTCATTCTGGGGAGGGTGCTTGCCTTGCATGCCTTGCCTTGCATGTTCAATCCCCAACACCCCTCAAGCCCCGCCAGGAGTGTTGTTTGAGTGCAGAGCCAGGAGTCAGCCCCGAGCGTTGTCAGATGTGGCCCAAAAGCCAAGAATCAGTAAAAATTAGAAAACAAAATAGAATCCAGAGGCCAGGGGAGTTAGCACAATAAGCTGTGTGCGTGCTTGGTGTGTGGGTGAGCTAGGTTTGGTCCTTACTACTGTGTAGTGCTCTCAGCACTGCCAGGAGTGACCACTGAGCACAGAGCCAGGAGTAGGTCCTAAACACTGGATATGGCCTACAAGCCCAAAAATAATAATAATCAGAACCAGAGAGAGTACAAGTATGCCATCCGCCTTGGACACAGCTGATCCCCAGCATCCTATATGGTTTCCAATAGGAAACTGCCAGGAATAATTCCTGAGCACCACTGGGTGTCACCCCAAAATAATAAATTGTGGTAGTGATAGTTCGTGCAGAGGCTAGATCCTGTAGCCCAGGAATACTTCTGGAGTGCATTCTTCTACAAGGTCATAACTATGTCAAAACTGACAATGTAAGCACATAGTCTTAGCCCTCCACACACGCGCGTGCGCGCGCACACACACACACACACATACACATTCACACAGAACACTACTGATTCTAATCAGAAATGCCTCAGCTCTATCCATTTTAGTGTACCTCCAGGGATTTATGTCACGTATAAGATGTATTTTACAATATATTTTATTAGAGGTTTCTCAACTGGAAACTTTAAAATGGCCTCAAGTTGTTTTTGAAGAATTAGGCATGTGGGCCAGGAATGTGGCTCAGTGGTCAGCGCTTGGTCAGCACATGTGAGGCTCTGGGTTCTGATCCTGTCCCCACAGGGTCCCCAGAGCCCCGCCACCTGTAGCCCACGAACACAGACACTTTGGGGAGAGCATCCAGAAGCTCTCCCTCCCCTTCACACTCTGCCTCTCTCCCATGAATCTGTTCTCTCAGAGAGCCGGGGCTCGGCCCCACTCACTGCCCACGCATCAGTGACACTGCTGGGCTTTCACGCCGAAGGTGTACAGGAAAGAACTGCAGTGGGGGAACCACGTGTTTGTGTCTGACTGGTGTGTTTTGCTGTATTTTTATGTGCAAAGACAACTGTGATTTCAGTGTTATGGTGCAAAAGCCTTTTGTATCATTCGTGTTTTTAATGTTAAAACCTGTTGCTGTGAATTTTACACAATAAACTATCCAAAAGCCTTCAGACTGGTGAACTTGGTAAACTTGGACATCACAGATTCTGCTCGCCCCGTGCCTTCCGTGCTCATCATAGGGACTGACACCTGTCCCCACTACCCCCATGACCCCCATACCTGAGAGGAAAGCGGCTGGTTGTGCACTGTTGTCTCAGTTGGAGGTTTTGGTGGGAGCCTGGGGGCTGGGTCTGCATGTTGCCTGCTCTGTGCTCTTGAGTTCACCTGCTTCCCTTGGACCAATTTTTCTTCTTCAGGATAAATTCTAAGGAGCCCCAGTCCCAGCTGTAAACACATCTCTCCTGCCATGTGTGCGTGTGTGTTATACCAGAGCTGGGATGGCACCTGGGGCTTCACATAACCCCAGATCACAGCTCTGTACTCTACCATTAAGTGACATCTCTGGCTATCTGGATTTGGAATTTCAAATTAGACACAACTAATACTCAAGCCAAAAAATGTTATATGTTTGGGTTTTTTACTAGTAACCATGTCAGTTTTCTTTCTCAAAATGGGTAAGAATGCAGGGCTGAAGCTATAGCACAGCGGGTAGGGCATTTGCCTTGCACGCAGCCAACCCAGGTTTGATTCCCAGCATCCCATATGGTCCCCTGAGCACCGCCAGGAGTAATTCCTGAGTGCATGAGCCAGGAGTAACCCCTGTGCATTGCCGGGTGTGACCCAAAAAGCAAAAAAAAAAAAAAAGGGGGGGGGTAAGAATGCAAAGAGTTCATATATTCAAAACCTGAGAAACATCACTTAGGTATAGTCACAACAGCACCCAGGTTTCTCTCCCTTTAGTGGGGTGGAGTGGGTGACAGTGATCACGGAATTCTAGGTCTCCTGGGTCATGTTAATATGTCTGTCTGTCCTCCCGTTGATCATCGATTTGCTCAAGCGTACCCAGTAACGTCCCCATTTTGAGGTTTGTTGTTAACTGTGTTTGGCATATTGAATATGTCACGGGTAGCTTGCCAGGCTTTGCCGTGCAGGTGAGATACTCTCAGTAGTTTGCCGGGCTCTCCGAGAGGGGTGGAGGAATCGAACCCAGCTCGGCCGGGCTGGCTGCGCGCAAGGCAAACACCCTACCGCTGTGCTGTTGCTCCAGCCCATGTTAATATGTTTGGACATTTATGGTTAAGATGCTAGGAGAAACTTTTCTCTCATCTGAAAAGAAAAGACAGGCAAGAAGAGAAAACTGGGTGTCTCAGATGAAGGCTCTGCCAACTCCCTTCCCTTCCTGTGATGTCTTTGGTGGAACTCGTGGAAAGCCTAGCAGAGGAGACATGGGGAAGAAGTACTTGAAGAATAAAGAAAAGGAAAGGGGTGTGGGGCTGGAATGGGCGCAGTGCTAGCACATGCCAAAGACCTGGGGTTGACCCCCGGCACTGCAAATATCACGATCACGATCATCCTGTTGTTCGTCGATTGCCTCGAGCAGGCCCCAGTAACGTCTCCTTCGTCCTAGCCCTGAGATTTTAGAAAGTGCCATATTCAAGGCTCTTTCAGGGTTAGGAGAATGAGACCCATCATTGTTACTGGTATTTGGCATATTGGGCACACAACGGGGAGTTTGCCAGACTCTGCTGTGTGGGCAGGTAACATTCGGTAACCTGCCAGGTTGTCCAAAGTAAGAATGAGATAATAAAATATTTTATTATTATCTCACTGCAAATATATGGTCACGGTCACAGTCCTCCTGTTATTCATCGATTTGCTTGAGCAGGCCCAGTAACATCTCCATCGTGAGACTTGTTACTGTGTTTGGCATATTGAATACGCCAGGAGTAGCTTGCCAGGCCTTGCCGTGCGGGCAAGATACTCTGGGTAGACAAAAGGAGAGAGAGAACACAGGGGATTGCCCTGCCACAGAGGCAGGGGGGGATGGGGGGGTGGGGATGGGGGGGATATTATCCATGGTGGTGGAAAATGGGCACTGGTGGAGGGATGGGTATCTGATCATTGTATAATCGAAACCCAAGCACAAAAAATTGTAAATCTACAACTGTACCTCATGGTGTTTCACTAATAAAAAAAAAAATGCAAAAAAAAAAAAAAGATACTCTGGGTAGCTTGCTGGGCTCTCCAAGAGGGGCGGAGGAATCAAACCCAGATTGGCCAGGCCAGCAGCGTGCAAGGCAAATGTCCTAAAAGAGTAGATCAAGCTTAGAAAAATGCTCAGGAATACCATTCTTCATATTCTTCAGGATATGAAGAAGCACCTCTCAGTAGCTGGTTTATATTTGAACATTTCCTTTTCTTCTGGAAGGGCCATGCCCACTGGTGCGCAGGTCTCTGTGCTCAGGGATCAGAACTCGGGGGACCATATCAGGTGTAAGGAATTGAACCCACATCAGCTTTGTACAAAGCAAATGCCTTGGCCTGCTGTACTGTCTCTCCAGCCCCTAAATTAAACATTTCTTCTTACAGTGACACCTGCACCACTATCTCCCCTGTGTCAAAACATCCTGGAACCCTTTTTTTTTTTTTTTTTACATCCTGGAACCTTAAGGGGTGACTGAGAGAATTGGAGACAATGGTGGAAGTAAGGTATAATGGTGATGGGATTGGTGTCGGAATATTGAACGCTTGTAACAATCATGAACAACTTTATAAACCACAGTATTTATTATATAAAGTATACGGGGAGGGAAAATTTTTTAACGTAAATATCCTGGATTCATCATAGGGGTTGCTGGTGGGAAAGTGAATGAATGAAAAAATGATTTTCCTATTTCCTCTGGAAAGTCCTTTTTCACAGAGATTGGAGTTAAACATATAGCAAGTAACCTAGTCCCTTTTTGTGTAGTCAACAGTCTAATCCTACGGGTTAGAAAGCTTTACTGATCCAGACCTGAGATGATTGTGAATATTACAAAGTTAAAGAACAATCATGCACGCTAAAGATTTTTGCTCTGAGGGCCAGAGAGCATAGTGGGTAGGGCAAAAACAGAAGCCCCATGGATTCTAGTAGAAGTTGTGACCTTTGTTTAGCAGGCCCCCCCCCCCCCCCCCCCCCGCAGGAGAGACTTGACAGTGCTCCCAACATTCCCCACTTTTGCTGGAGGGCGAGCTTCATGAAAACATGGATTTGGGGAAAGTGATCACAGTAGTGTTCAGGGAGCACTACTGGCGGTGAGAACTATTCGGGACCAGGAATCAGACCCAGGGTCTCACACATGGAAGACAAGTAAGTGCTCAACCACTGAGCCACATCCCTGACCCCATGAACATTGTCATCACTCATGAGGGTTATTACAGTGAGTGATTAACTGGGATAGTGACTGTTTAAGTGGAAGGTTCACGACTAG